TGTGAATAACCCTGTGAATTCCAACAATAAGATGTGTTTTATGTTCAATAAACTGCATTCATATGAAATAAAAATGAGCCTAAGTTTGATGTGAACCCATTTTGCCTGAATTGGTCTAAGCACGCCCATCCCCCCCCCTCCCCCCCCATGCCAATCAGTGGTTGTGGTGGCCTCAGCTACACCTCACAAAAGGGTGGGGAATGCTCTTGCTGCAACTGATTGGATGGGAGGGCTGTCGGTCACAGTTTTGAGCAGGCTTGAGCAATCTGAGATGAACTTGGTTCACACCATGCCTAAGCTCATAACTAATTCCAAATCGAAATGGCCAAACATTTGTGGAGACCTGACTGTCACACCTATGAGCTTGGTGGACATCCCATTCCAAAACCATGACCATTAATATGGCATTGCCTCCTCATTCCTTTTGCAGCCTATACTTGGGAGACTTTTTGGAGTGTGTCAGTGGGAATTTGTGCTGTCAGGTACCGGTGTCGGACGAGTAGGTACAAATTGCTTGTACTGCAAGAACCTTTTTTAGCTTCATCACTTAACATTCCGATATTTTGGTTTGCTACAGGCCATCTTTATATATTTATACAACATGTGTTGGTGTTTGCTTGTTTGTGGAGTCTTTGCATCCTTTCCCCATGTTCGTCGGCTAATCACCTGCAGCATCGTTTTTTAATTGCAGTTGGGTTTTTCGACGGACGTTAATCACGTTAGCAGCACTGTTTCTGCCTGAATCATTATGTATTGACAATCATTTCATTGTGCTGAGAAAACTACCCACCAATACTGTTTATTGCATATTAATGTCACTTTTGTTCCTGTGGGCTTGTTTGACATTTATGTTATGTTGCATTCGTTTTGTCTATTGAAGAATCGTCTGATTATATTATAGGAAATTTTTCCACCGCTCAGCAATGAAATATTGCAGATATTAAAGCTTTGACATGCAATTACTTTGTCATTTTTAGTTTGTTCAAAGCAGCGCCTCTTGACTAAATTAACCAGTTACCACGTGCAATCTGTTTAAAATCCCCTGGCTCAATGCACCGTGCAGAGGTTTTGGTAATAAGCATTCCCTGTTTTCATAGCCAGGAGCTGACACTTTGCGTCGGGCCAATCCTGACGATTGGTAATTAATCAGAATAGTTTTCAATCGTGATCAATCATGTGATCACTCTATCGCCTCTGACTGACATGCGGGCTGGAGAATTCGCTTGGAAAAATATAAGACTTCAGTCTGCAGATAAACACTGCCACCGTCAGCTGCAGTGTCATCTTTTTAGTAGTGTAACTGTCAGACACAGTTATGCAATTCAAAAAAATATGATAAATTAATAAAAAAAGAAATATGACAAAAGTCCATCTATACTAAAAAAAAACAGAGCAGAGTTTAGTTTTTTAAAATATTAAAACAGTGTATCATGATCCAGACTGAGACCCCGTTCACACTGAGCGCTTTATCGCGCGATTTCCACTCCAAAATTGCACATATTTCCTCGCAATGTCGCTCAGTGTGGCTTGTCCAATGCATTTCAATGGAGGTGTTCACATCTCGCAGCTCAATGTCGCCTGTAGCTTGTAGCTCAAGCTTGTCGCTTGAACATGACCTATTTTTCGGCGGATGTCGTGCGATTTGGCCCAATAGGCTTAATTGTGTCGCGCATTACCGGCGATATTGCACGACCTTGTCGCGCGATATCGCACTACAGAAGGGTCACTTTTGCACAGCAATATGGAAGGAAAGAATGATGTCACATCAAGACCGCTGTTGATGTGCCGTTCCAGCCCAATGTAGCAGCGATGAAGTCCCTCCCAAAAGTCGCGCTACGTAGCACGACAAAATGTGCACTGCCGCTCAATATCGCACAATGTAGCTCAATGCCGCTCAGCACGAAATCGCGCGATTCTCCATGTCGCTCAGTGTGAAGTCGCAGCCCTCAGGTTCGCCCTACTCGGCCAACAGCGGATGGCGGTCAGAGGTCGGGCAGGCTGCGGAGCAGAATCACCAGGAGACAGGCCAAAGGCCAGGGCAGGCAGCAGACACGGATATTGGCAAATGAGCCAAAGGTTGCCAAGAGGATTACAAGCAACAGTACAGCCCTGCATGCCTGTAGAACCAAGGTTAAAATGTTCACCCATGCTGGTAGAACTACAAGTGACTGATGCTTGCATAATTTGGCCTAAGGATCTAGGTTTAAATGACCCCGGTCACAAAAGGTTTAAAATGTATCTATAACCATTTTCCCCTTTATTGTGGATAGTTTTTGCTGTGTCTTTCCTGTCCCTGGAGATTTCCCTTCATTTCTGGCCCCTGAAAAAACAGGAAATGAGTGGAATTCTTTCCAAAATAAGAAAAAAACCCCTTTTAAATGCTTTCACCGGAATAAGTGACCCCATTGGAAGATTACTAGAGCTGCAGCAAACGATTATTTTCAAAATCGATTAGTTAGCCGATTATTAAGTTCGATTAATCGGTTAATCGGATAAACAATAAAATTATTTTTTTTAAGTGGCTCCAGTGATGGACTACTAGTTTGTATTAAGATTGCACTCCATCACAGGAGCAAGCTTGGAGCGGTGGAGGTAAAAAAAGAAAAAAAAAGTGTGGTGTGCAATATAGTGAAAAGGAAAGTGTAAAATTATACAGCAATGAATGCAGAATGGCACCGGCTATAGAGGACTACAAATCCCAGCTATAGTACATTATTGCATTTTTATTTGCGCTTCAGAGCTGAAATACAATAAAAAGTGCCCAAAAACGCACTGATTAGCGCATTTCTATTCAAATCTGTATAGAATCTGCGCTGATTAGCAGGGGAAAAAAGGCTCAGGGAGCGTTTCAGGCGGCAGGCGGTTTGAATCGCTCAGAGACGCACGATCGCATGAATGGTCCCCATAGGAAGGTATGGGATAATTATGTTGGCGGTTCAGCGCAAACGAACCGCCCTGGTGTGGACGGGCCTAATAGTTAGACAGTGTAATGTGTTTGCATCCTTGTAAGTGTGCTGGGAAACTTTTGCTTTTGTACTGGAAAAAAAAGTTGAGACTGCGTCGCAGATGTTGCTACATGCACTAGTTTTCCATGTTTGTCACACATACAGGAACCCACTGAAATCAATGGGGATGCACGCAAACGAATAAAACAAATGCGCATTCCCACTATGCTTAGATGTGAATGGGGACTTAGGCCCGGGAATCTAAGCGCCAATGATCCTAGGTCATGAAGGGGGTAAAGTTCACCATGATGTAGAGTAGTTTCTCCCAAATATTCCTGAAATTTCCTGATTTATTGTGAAGAACTCCCGTAATTTCCAAACAAACTAAAATATACAGTATGTGACATACCTATTGTTTGGTTTATATTACCCTGCAAATTCCAATTATTTTTATTTTATTACACAGAAGATTGTGAAGATGCCAGCTACTGCTGCGGGAAATGTCACCATTGGACCTTTAAGAGGAATTCAATTCTTGTTTTATATATTACATGTAACTTGTGGGGGTTTTTTTTTTTTGCTTTTGTTCTCTTTGTTTATCCTAATGCTTTCTGTATTGTTGGATTTTTTTTTACTGGGTTGTTGTAGTTAAAACATAAATAGAAAGTATTTTTTTTTAAAATAGAATTCTAATGCAAATCTAAAGCAGCTGGCCTTGGAATGAACGCTATTGTGAAAAATATTGTATTGTGTATGTGGTTTGGTGCAGAACTAAAGCCATGAAATAAAAAAAATGATATGCAAAGTCTCTGCTGAGCACGCACAGTGCAATGTATAACCAAGCTCATTCCTGGGATCTGTGAATTGCCAAGAATGGAGCCAGGTGATGTAGCTCAGTGCCCTACACAAGAGTTATTATTATACAGGATTTATATAGCGCCAACAGTTTGTGCAGCGCTTTACAATATAAGGAAGACATTACAATACAATTCAAGATGGTAAGGAAGGCCCTGCCCCTGAGGGCTTTCAATCTAAAAGGGAGGGGCAAGTGATACATGAGGAAGTAGATGTGTGGGGATGAATTTCTTGAGAACGTGAAGGTTGAGGTGGGATAGGCTTCCCTGAAGAGATACATTATTTATTTATTACAGGTATTTATATTTGAGGGTGCTACAGATGTCCATTCACATCATTTTCTGCCATCAAGGTTCTTACAATCTAAGGTCCCTATCTCACATGCATACATACATACAGGTGCCAAATAACCTACCAGCATGTCTATGGAGTGTGGGTGGAAACCGGAGTACCCAGAGTAAACCCACACAAGCACAAGGAGAACATGCAAACTACTTGCAGATAGTGACCTGGCCAGGATTTGAACCAGTGACCCCCCAGTGCTGCAAGGCAGAAGCACTAACCACTACGCCACTGTCATCTGTTGTTTCCCAAAGGGGGAGCCAGAAGATGCTGGACTGGGAGAACACGTCAGCGGCCATGGATGGAGGGGCAGCACTGATGTCTCATGACTAGAGGAGGAAACACTAGCAGTTAGGTGCCATGCTGTCCAAGTACTTTGCATACTTGCACATTATGGCTAGAGTCCACTGACCCTGTAAGCCATAGAGTCTTGTTTTAATATTAATAATAGTATTCAGGATACAAATTCCTTTTTTAGCATAATACATGTTTTTATATATTTTTCACCCTTAATTGCAGACCAATCTGTCCAGCGAAAGCAACAGTAATAGGTGTTTGGACAAAACACAGGTACTTACAATGACTAGCTTCCCCAGCAGTGTTCTGGTTTGCTGTCACTTTTGCTGGTCAGCTAACTCTGCAGGCAAATCAGGAGACAAATACACAAAAGACCAGTAATATGGAAAAAAAGTAATTATTTTACTGAATACTACTTTTATAATTATGAACTGCTGGCAGTTATAGGAATACAATATGCTTCATGGTAGTAGTCCTTGAATTTAGCAGGACGATGTAGTGGTTATTCATAGAAATGTTATAGATAAGCCGTGTAACTGGGCTGTGCTCTGTGTGTTGCAGATTCTCTGTCAAGACCCTGATTGACCGATCCTGCTTTGAAACCATTGATGATTCTGCACCGGAATTTCTAAACTTTGCATCTATTTTGGAGCAGATCCTAAGCCATCGTCTGAAAGGTAACATGTTACCCCTCATGTCAAATCCTATCCCACTATTCAAAGTCATGATACCCTGTTTCCCCGAAAATAAGACCTACCCTGAAAATAAGACCTAGCACTATTTTTGGGAATTGCTAAAATATAAGACCTACCCCGAAGATAAGACCTAGTTGTGACCATTCCCAGGGCCGGTGGTGGCATAAGGGGGAACTTGAAGAGCCGTGGGAGGGGCAGGAGAGAATCAGCGGTGCCAACGAAGCCAGCGCTAGAGGAAGCAAAGCGGCACCGGAGGGAGCAGAGCCGTATAAGCCGATGCCTCCTCTATAGCGCCGGCTCCTGTCACAGGCGGAGTGATACCAAATGCACTCCGCCTGTGAGGAATCGATAGTGTCACAATCCAGCAGGGCAGTACTTTCTTGGATCTCAACAGCGGAACTAACACTCTAGGTGTAAGGGTTCGGTCAGTCTTGCGGAACCCCAATACACTCAGTGTGATGGGGGGCCGTTCCACATCATGTACCCGTCCTAGAATGTTATAGGGATATGACCAATGAGGGTCAAAGGTATACAGTTTAGGTATTTTGGTTATAACTATCAACCTCAAGTGGAGGCGTGTGGTGAATTGTAGTTTTGTCACTGCAGGAATAAATAGGGAATCGTTTCCTATCACCCCTCTCCAATCCACAGTGATCACGGTGTGGCAGATTTACTGAATGGCGTTCCCTAATACACTTGGGGAGATGTGTAGTGCGGTGGTTATGCAAGGTTAGCAGAGCAGGTTATGCAATCCGTAATAATGAACAATATGATATGTTCAGTTGGTATTAATGCACACAGATCCTTGCTAGTATACACATCTCAATATCGCTTTGAAGTGGCTACAAATAGGTGGGAGAAAACCAGCAATATGGTATGTTCAGTTGGCATCAATGCATACAGTTCATTGCTAGCATATACGTCTACTATGGGTTGAAGTGGCTACCAATAGGTGGGAGATAACCAGCAATATGGTATTCCAGTTGGTATCAATGCACACAGTTCATTGCTATCATACACGTCTAATATGGCTTGAAGTGGCTACCAACAGGTAGGGGAAGATCCCCTTGTACTTGCGGTTCAAGAGTGGAGGGAGTTCAGGAGGAGTAGGAGGTAATCCTGTGTAGCAATGTGAGCCGTAGCAGCTAGCAGTAGCTGAGTCCCAACAGGGAGGCTGAACTCCTCACTTAGACCCCATTCACACGTAGCGACATACCTTTTGCAGCGGCCGGGATAGCGCGACTTTCGGGGCGACGTTCCAGCGACGGTAGCGTGACCTTCTCCGTCGGGCTCCATAGAAAAAAAGCAAAATCGCGCAAAATCCGCCGAAAAAAGGGTCCGGTAGAAGCGACTTGCGACCGCGACGAGCGACGCGCGACATGGAGTTAAGACGGCTCCATTGAATAGCATTGGCCAGCGACTTCTCGCGATATCGCGCGGCAAAAATGTGCGATATCGCGGCGGAAATCGCGCGATAATTCGCTACATGTGAACGGGGCCTTAAGGCTGTGGATGGTCTGTGGCTCTGTTCCCCACAGAGTCAGTCGCTCGACGTTCCACAACGATTGAACGCCTAGTGACTGACTCAGCTGTGTTTAAGAGGAGGAGGCGCCACCCCCAGGGGGAGGAGCGGGCCGTGTCAGCACACCCGTCCGAGTCAATCTATGACAGATAGTGAAAGTGCGCTTCGGTCATTCTGGCCAGCGATTGGTTAGCAAATTGCTCTTGGAAAGGTACGGCACCCCTGATTGCGCTGATCACCATATTTTTGTACATGAATACATGTAGACTGTTGTACATGAATAAGTGTGTATTGTTGTACATTAAAAAAAATAAGACCTGCCCCGAAAATAAGACCTAGTGTGTTTTTTTTAACCAAAAAAAAAATAAGACCGTGTCTTATTTTCGGGGAAACACGGTACTTGTTGGTGCTCATTTAAAGCTGAATTCCATTTTTTTGGTTAATGCCTCGCTGTATACAGTTTCTTTGACTAATCTTTTTTTGTGAATCTGTTATAAAGTTTTTTTACCTGGAGATCCTGCCAGTAACAGTACTTCCTGTTGCAGACTGATGGTGAAAACAAGGGAAGAGGCTCTGCAGTTTCAGGGCTTCTGTTGTGACCTTTTGAGGAGTAATTTCTCCTCAATTCCTACAGCTAGAGAGGTCAGTGAGGTTCTTTCTAAGCTCTTTTACTACTTGTTAAGAGTAAGTAACTTGTTATTGCCCATAACATGGGCAGAGATGCACTTTAAATAGACATACTGTACATTGAACCTGCAGTAAGCAGAAGATGCATTATACCACAGCCCAATGCAGTGATTTGAACCGGACACTAAACATGGCAATGTGATTGCACCATTAACTATAGAAAACCACCTCTGCTCGGCTTTTCTGCAAATGGTTGCCTTGTACTCTGACAAATAGCTTTGCAATAGAGAATGTTTCGTAATTCATGCCACAGATGTTGCTGAGCAGAGTTTCCACTCTAAATTATTTTTCCTAATACACTGCTCACAAAGGCAGGCTAGGAATAGGATCACAGAGCATCATGACTCATATCACCGGAATACACAGATTGTACTTTCATGGTCTTTCAATCCCTTCAGCTTTTGAAAGCTGGAACTGTAAAGGATGACTGGTTCAACTGTAGTAAAAATAGGTTACCTCTGACAACAGGATTGCTGTGGGGTGGATGTAGTCATAAATCATGAATCCTTAGTGTTTGATATGTTGGCAACTAGTTGCCAACTTCTTTTTTTTTTTATTTAAAGTGTGTCTAAACCCAAGAACAAAAATGTATTCTATTGTAGCTTGCTGGTCCTTGCTGCGGTGGCAGCATTCATTTTCTGGAATTTTAGGAAGTGTTGAATTCCTGTTCCCCTTCTGCTCTTAGTGGTTCCTCCCGCTGACCACAATGTCAGTACAGGACACAGTGTTGATGAAGAGGTTGAAGGTACCACTGGGTGCAGTGGGGGATCAATGGATTGACACTCTGGAATTCTCCGTTTCTCAGTGGATGTAAAAATAAATAAAATGTATCTAAAAAAAAAAAAAGCACAATGCAAATCTAAAGCAGCTGGCCTTGAAATGAGCACTATTGTGGAAAAATATTGTATTATGTATGTACGTTGGATGCGGTTAACCATCGCAGTGAGAGAAATCATTTTAGGGCAGTCAATCACTGATAACACTAAACTGATGAGCGGCAACAGCTTTTAAAGCGTCGCCTATGGCCAATTTTGGGTATTATCGTTTTTTGAGGTTTCGCGTGCGCACACAATTTTAAGGCTTGACATGTTTGGCGTCTTTTTACCCGACGTGACCCCGTCTTTTATATTTTACTAAAAAATTGGGTAATAATAAATGTTTTATCATTTAATATAGGGGAAACTGTTTGTTTTTTTTTAATTTCGGTAATTTTTCCTCCAATATAGTAAAAAAATAAAAACCCCCAGTGGTGAATAAATACCACCAAAAGAAAGCTCTATCTGTCCACAAAAAAGGGTATAAAATTCATTTCAGTACAGCGTTGCATGACGGAATAAATGTCAGTCAAAGTATCGCAGCGCTGAATACTGAAAAATGGCCTTCATGGGAAGGGGGTTTAACACCGCGGCTGTCAACTGGTTAAAGCAGAATTAAAGTCATGAAAACAAAAAAAGCTCAGAGGTAGAGTTTAATGGTAGAAAATACCCTTAGGAACAAATAGAAAGCAAGAAAATACATTGAGAACAATCAAAAGAGAAAATACCCTTCAATCATTTGATCAGAAGAGAAGAAATACTCTAAAGAACATTCAAACAAAAAAGAATATCCCTGAAGAACATTCAATCAGAAGAGAAAATACTCTAAAGAACATTCAATCATAAAAGACAATACGCTTTAGAACGTTTGATCAGAAGAGAAAATACCTTTAATGCCGACCTTTACACTCAAAAATCAATTTAAGCCTCAAAAAGCCTTTCCCAAATGTCACATTCTTATGTACTTTAGCACAGATTGAATAGCGACATTCTCCCGCCCACTTCATAATAAGAAATGATTGTATCAACAATACAAAATAAGTTTCTCACCGATTTGCAAGCAGTCTTTTTAAAGTTTAAGAAAATGTGTGCCAATTATGAATTCAATATTCTTCCATCTCTTGTTAACAAGATCGATGGCTGCCATCTAGGAAGATATTGATTTTTTTTTTTTCCATCTCGTTGGTTGGCTAAACGATTTCCTGATTATGTTTAAAGGGTCAATCCACTCAAATCTGATATTTCATTGCTACATGCTGAAGAATTAAAGCTGAACTCCAGGCAGACATCAAATAATGCAGTTCTGTATTTTAAAAAAAGTATTTTAAATGCAACTAGTACAAATACCTGGATTTGACTTGATATCAGACTCCTATAATCCCCTGTATAGCAGTACTCAGACCGGAAGACGGAAGGCCAGCACTTGAGGCAATCAGGAGCATGCAAATATATTGAAGAAGAACGTGTTGACAGGAGGGGGAAGTCTAACAGCCTCATCAGTTTGTTACTGCTTATTCACTGCCCAACTGAAAGGCTCTACAGACATAACAACAGGTATTCAAAAAGATTCAGCCAGAGCAAAGCAGCACTGCAAAGCTATACACTGAGTGGCCAGATTATTATGACCACCCCATCAGTACTACGTTGGGCCACGAGATGACTTTGTTGGGCCACCTCGTGACTCCACGAGATGTTGAAAGGTGATGCGAGGAATCTGACACTGCACTGTTGCCCTTCTGTTGTCTTGTACCAGTCTTGCCACTCTCCGTTCTGCCCTAACATTGACTAGTCGCTGACGGCCACAATTCGCACGTTCAGACCCAGATTTTCGGCTGACAGTCCGGTCTTTAAACACTTTAACAACAGCTGCTCTTGAACATATAACGAATTCTGCTGTTTTGCTGATACTCGCTCCATGGCTCCGAGCGCCAACAATCATCCCACGCTCAAAGGCTGTT